AAGTACTCATGTATAATGAAACGAATAGAAATTGCATAAGTAAAAAATGTGAATTTTATTAATAAGGAGTACAGCAGGCAAAAAGATATGGCTGAGAACCCTAAATTGACTCCTAAAAAGGCGGCCTTGACGTCCTAAGGCTAGTCGGTTGAAGGTTTGTCCGAAGCATGTTCGAAATCACCTGCTTGGGAGGTCGCTACATCGTCATCTTCCCGCACCATTGTCATCAGTGTTTCGCGCCAGTCCTCCGGGAGGTCGGACATGTCGAGTTGCGGATTCCTCGGTCGCAGGGCATGGATAGACTCGATCGCCCATTCGGCAGCCCTCTCCTCCACCTCCGCAGCCTGCTTCTGTATCTCCTCTGTCAAGGAAGCAACTTTCCCTTGACTTTCCTGAAGTTCAACTTCAAGAGCTTGCCTTAGCTTCTCAAAAGCCTCTCTCTCCTGCTCTACTCGTGCGACCTATAGGGAAGTAGCTTTCAGTTCCTGGTCCTTCTCCCCGGCCTGCTTGGAGAGTCTGGCTATGGTCCTTTGCAGTTCCTTTATCTCTTCCCCATGCTTCTCGAGCTGCGTCTTCTGGAAGTCAATTGTGCGAAGAGTCGCGTCCTTTTCGTTCTGGAACTGGTTCGCCAATTCGAAAGATAAGTTTCTCTCCGTTTCGACGGCCTCCAGGCTTCGCTTGAGCGTAGCGTTCTCTCCCTTCAGTGCGACCTCCCCCTTTGCGGCCCCCAGTTGAGCATTTTGCAAAGACATTCGCATAGAAAGAAGGGCCTGCGAATAAAGAAAGATAGAGTTAGCCAATCAAAAGAAGCTAAGGGTAGTCCTCGCTGGGGACAGTTTGCTCGCCTTGCTTATGTGTTGGATCGACGTGGACATCAGGTCGACGTCGCTGAAATTTGCGAACTGCTCGAATGATTCCGAGAGTCCGCATTCTAGTAAAGTGTAGACCACCGGCTGTAGATACTCCGGCAGGTTCCCCAGCCAGTCCAATACTGGGGTATCCATCTTCGCACCTTCAGTAGTGGTCGTGTCAACCATCGGTTCCTTTCCTGACCTTTTCCCGACGTCCTTCTGCGGCCTCCTTAGCTGCTCGCCTTCAGATTCGGTCTCTAATTCCTCGACCTGAATCTGCCTTCTCTTTTTTCGCTGAGCCATCGTTTTCATCCTTGGGTGAGCAGGCGACGGTTGGGAGACCTTTGTGGTTTGCATTGGTGCATCTTCTACCGGCTGCGGCTGAGAGATTCCGGAAGGTCGCGCCAGTTGTCCCGGGATCGCACCCTCAGCCAGAGGGATTGTTTAAGCAGCTTTGGCCGCCTTAGCTTTCCTCGACCGAGGAAAATTGAGAGGCCTTCATCGAGGCTGCTTTGGCTCCTTCGGTGGCATGGTTGCTGCATGCAAGACAAGGTTAGTGAAGGCATTCTATTCCACGACCAGGAAAATAATCAGTTAGCAGAACTTAGTTGGTGGAGGCTCTAACGACGCGCTTGCGTTAAAGAAACCGTATTTTCGCAAATTCGCGGTCGTCACAAGTTTCTTCGCGTCGCTCTTGTCCTCAGGTAGGGAGCCAAAGTGCACGATTCTTCCCCTATCGTGGAGCAGCCCTACTTCGGTCGTCTTGTTAACTATCAAAAAGAAAAGACGAGGTCATTAGAGCGAACACGCTTCGAACGCAATGAGTTCGCCAAAGCAAAGCAGAAATACAAACACAGAGAAAGAGGCCTACTCGGTTCTTGGAAGTGGCAATGGCCATCATGACGAAAGAAGAAAAACTTCGTTTCGTAGGCCCCCGTGTTGCTGGGATAACTATGTATCCCGTCGGCAATAGCAGGTCACCTGGACAAGTAATACGAATCCTTGTCCTTGCTCTTTTTCAGAAAATATGAGCAGTCGAGCTCCAAGGCGGTTAGCTCGCCTAGCCCGTTTTCCTAGCACGCGATGTACATTGCAACAACAATGACGTACGCATTTGGGGTCAGCTGCATCGGCGCGACCCCGAAGTGGTCCAAAAATAGCCTGATGAAAGGGTGTAGGGGGATAAGTCCTCCACCCTTGATAATCTCCTCGGAGATCGCAACTAGGCCACTTTATCGCGACGAATGTGTCAGGTCATGGAAAACGTCCACCTCGATGCCGTATTGGCCTATTACCCTATCGTGTTCTTCCTCGGTGAGTACTGAGAAAACCTCGAGAGGGATGCTTGGAGCACCCTGTGGGGACGAGCTGGTTCCCTGCTCGGATCTGGTGGCTGAGGGGTCCATTTTGCCAGTCTGCAAAAGCGACAAGCAGAAGGGTTATTTGGCCTCCGTACGCTATTTCGTACGATGAGTGGGAGGAAATAAACTCCCTAAATCCTAAAGAAAACCCTAGCAGCATGATTTGAGCCGCCATTCGTGGCTCGAACCCGGCGCAAAAGTCTAGTCTCCGATTGTTTACCGGAAGACCGACGCCATTAACTCATGGAAGAAATGAAATAATGGCAGGAAAACTCTTACCTCTCGGAGTATGACGACTGTTTCTGCTTCAAATGCCAGAAAAATGCAGGTTTGGAAGACAAAGGTTCCTAGCCTATGAAAGTCTTTTGTTCTCTGTGAAAAAGGCTCTGGTGACATTGCCTGAGAACGATTTGAGGTTTTTATAGCGCGTGAATCGGCGTTTGGATTTCCCGGAATCGAAACGACGTTTGGGCGGTAAAGGCTTCTTACCGTTGATCTTAGCCACGTGTCACTCATCAGCGAGGAAGGGTGAACGAAACGACTAGATAAAGTCAAACTTTCATCTTTCCAGTTGAAAAGCTCGAACGACGGCCATACCTCTCTCAGAGCATTAATTGCGTCTCAAATCTTCATTTAATGCTCTGATAAGGAGCGCCGTTCAACGTATAATGCATTTAATGTCCTGGTAAAGCACATTGTTTCAGAATGCAAGACATTAAATGTGATTGGCTGGCATTTACCACGCAAGGGACACACCTGTCAGCGTAGGGATTGCTTCATTAAATGCCTTCCTATCACCAGAACAAACAAGTGACGTCAGACGAAATCAGGTCGCTCGTCCTTGAGCATGCGAGGTCGCGCTCATAAAAATGCCACTCCAACCTACTTTCAAACAGACTAAAATTTCTAGAAATCATCCCGCTGCGGCATGACCTGTAGTTTCTAAGGTTCAATCCTCAAACCTTAAAAACTAGGGGACTTCTGTTATGTCTAAAAAATACGAGGACTGACGTCAGGTCCATTTAGCCCACAAAAGTCAGATCATTGGAACAACCACCGCCTGCGTCCGTCAGGATAGTGGGTGCGCATTAGGCTAGTCAAGAGCTGTGATGCTCCCACGTGTCCAATCTCTGCTCTAAATCGCGCAAATCACTCTAGAAGGTGGACAATGTGACATAAAGAAGGATTTGCACGGATAATCCCATCAACTTACAGATTTAGTGATCATTACCTCAAGTAGGGGTGTTCAAAAAAATGCAAAAACCGAATCGAACCGCTAACCGAACCGAAAAACCGGTTAACCGAAAAAACGGTTCGGTTACGGGTCGAAAAATTCAAAAAACTGAATTTTCGGTTCGGTTACCGGTTCGGCAAAATTAGAAACGGTTAACCGAAAACCGGTTTTCTAAACCGGTTTTTCAAATATATATATATATATTAAATAAATAAATAATAACCTAAACTAAAATAAATCCCTAATTCACTCAATCTAAAATCCCAACCCAAATTTTTTTTCTTAGTTTCCAATGTATTGTCTATATTTACAATTTAATTTAGGACAAAATTAAAAAAAAAAAAAGTTTTATAAAAAAAAAAGGGAAAACCGGTTCAAAACCGGTTAACCGCTTTTTTTAAAACTGTTAACCGGTTTTTCGGTTAACCGAAAATCCGGTTCGGTTTAGAAAAGCGGTTAACCGGTTCGGTTAACCGCTTTTGAACACCCCTAACCTCAAGGCATCCCACTATAAAATGGGAGTTCCTCTCTCATTAAGGGGATTGGCATATTTTACGCTTGATTAATTATTCTCTCTTTCCCTATAATTCTGAGCATTAGATACCTTGTAACATTATTGTAAAGTCAGTCAGCTAAAAGCGACCTGACCTCTATCATCTATATAAGCATCAGTGGATGTAGGACTTGCTATCTTAGCATCCGAACCACTTTAAAAACTGTCCCCATTGCATTTACTATCTCTTTATTCGTTACATTCGCGTGTGTCTTTTGGGTCCGCACAGCATTTCACACGTGCGTTTCGTTGGTGCAAAAAACACGCATCAACAATTCAGATTTCTAGTTGTAGCGAATATATATATATAGCAATACGTAGTTGGATAAATCAGTTTTTTATATTTTCGATTAATCTTTTATTTGACAAACATACTGCAGAAAAAGTGATTATAGACAGTATTATATTAGTAATATAAAACATTGTATTAATAATTATTTTAGCTAACATATCAGGGCCCTCTGGTTTGTATAATACATGATCTCGATGTTACGATGTCAATAGGAGCATTCTTAAATCTTAACTCCTCAGTATCACAATTTGTTCATAACATATAATATAATGCAAGCTATTTCCGTCAGTCAAATGACCAGTTAAATATAAAACAAAGGCTTCAGACTTTAGAGTTAATTTCCTGCTATTTCCGTCTCCTAGTGTAAATTTTGAGTCGAATCGAAGTTTTGAACTCACAATTTTTCCAATTAATTTCCACATTCCTCAGAAACTGAAAATCAATGCAGTCTTTCTTTTGCAAATGGTAACTTGGTCAAGTCCATGGCAAAAAAAAAAAAAAAAAAAAAAATTCTGAGAAATTCAACCCTTCTGAAAACAGAGACGATAAAATATATTTTCAAGAAAAGGAAATCCGCATTTGGTCAATTACATTTATCCGAATAAATAAAATTGAAGCTTCCGTGCAAACTCAGCTCAGAGCCTGTCACTCTTGACAGGATATTAATATAATCTCAATTCCTGAAATTAATTTCTCGAGGAATCAAAGATACACGAATATCTCACGATTTTTTCATTGATCTACACCATTGTTCTGAGCAAGCAGCATGAATCCCAGCAGCATCGAGCCCGAGATTAAATCTGCTACACCATCTCCGTCTTCATATCCAACATCTTCGAAGCAGCCGCTAACTGAAGGGCAGTGGTCCACCGGCTTGTATGATTGTTGCCATGATCCTTCTAACTGTATGCTGATACATTTTTATAATATTTAAAATTTATAGTAAATTCTCTTCGCTAATGCTTTGTGTTCATGAATCATAATGACTAATAATACGAAGTTGCAATTTTATTTTATTTATTTATTTGCAGGTTTAATCACCTGTTGTTGTCCATGCATAACCTTCGGCCAAGTAGTTGAGATTATTGATAGAGGGAATACAGGTAAACATTTATTTTAATTTATTCTTTCTATATATGAGGTGGAACTTAGAATCAGAAAATGATTTTATTGTCCTGTTGGTTGCATGAACAGCCTGCAAACTGCAGGGCTTGGTGTACTATGCTATGGCGGCTATAGGTTGCGGTTGGCTGTATGGTGGTGCATACCGTTCTAAATTAAGAAGGCCTTTTTCATTACCAGAAGCCCCTTGCAGGGACTGGGTGGTTCACTGTTTCTGCTGCATTTGCTCCCTCACCCAAGAGTATAGAGAACTCAAGAATCGTGGAGCCGATCCCTCCATTGGTAATTAAACTGTCAAACTCAATTCTTGACTCCAGCAACAAAGGGACTGAGTATGGAATAGAACTTGGATAAATTAATTATATTAAATCCATTTCTGACTGAATTGAACTTATAATATGTAGTCAACTTAACTGTAATATTAAAATATGATATATTTTATTTCCAGTTTGTTGATTTTATGCTCTTGTTAATCAAATATTAAGCCATTCAATTAAATTTATGATAATTTATCCCAATTGTTACACAGTACACACTCTTTACCATATTTTGGTGGGTTTTGATTTTTGAAGGTTGGAAAGCTAATGTTGAAAAGTGGAATCGTGAAGGACTTAAGCCCCCAATCGTTGCACCAGACATGTGTCGAAATTGAAATATTTATTTTTGTATTCCTGCCATTGCCTACTCTTCTATGTTGGTCTTTTGATCTCCTTTGTGTATTTCATTACTCTTGAAAATGTTTATTAGGATTTGCACAGCATATCTATGTCAATTTGTGAAGTACAGTTTGTTGTCGTTGTTCATGATAACAGCTTATGTTATTTGTGTATTTGTAGTAAATCTCTCTTCAGAGATCTCCGGATAATATTTCGTTAACAAAATAAAATTAATTTACAAAATAATATCGTAACTTATTTCAAATAATACTCTTTCTCCAATCTCGTAAGTCCCTTTTTTTTTTTCCTTTATTTCTAATTAGTAATTAACCAACCTTTTTGTTTGTATCAAATTTTAATGCTAATGAGTAATGACCCTGCAATTAATTATAATATTGAAAATAATATGATTATGTCTTATGATGAAAGTAACTTATAATAAGTATGGAATAAGTTAAATCAAGGGTCAACTTATATAATTTATGTAATATTAATCGGCGATGATTACTAATCTTGTCCTCTGAAAAGAGGCCGACGATGAGTTTAATATTATTATATTTTATTCGAATAATCCCATCTGGAGTCATGTATAATACAAACGCTAATTAATTCTCTAGTAATTCTATAAACAATTGACAGTTATAATTAATAACTACTCTTCTTTATTATAGTTTTGGTACAAGTCCATATTCATTGTTGTAGTATAATATTGCTTGATTTAAATGAATTTAAATATAAAACTTGGAAATAAATAGATTCGGTTGAAATTTAAAAGCCTTTTAATACTATTTATTATCGTTCTTCATTTAACTTCAAAACTTGATCTAATTTATTTTTCTTATTCGTTGCATAAACAATCATAATCTTTATTCTTTACACCGGATGTGATTATTATGTACTTGAAAGGTTGGTTTGTTCAACAACTCTCTTCAATTTTATTTTTTTATTTTTTTTTAAGGAGAAAACGATCTTTATATTAGTAAAAAGGTATTGACTTTGTATTTATTTTTTTGTCAAAGTTAACATATTATTATTTAAATCTAATATTCAAGTCTCTGTAACAATGTTTGAGAATGCTTATACGCTTCCCACTCAAATCACGGTTTTGACTAGGACACAATTTCCAAGTCATTTCCATTTTCTTTCTTATACAATACACAGAAATCTCATTGGATATATCCAAACATTAATCAGCCATGAATCCTCCAAGAAAATGCCCTTATCACGTAGAATAACAAGCTTCTGAAATGGTCAGCTCCATGGCAGGAAAAAAAAAATGACAATAATAAATTGGCAATTCAACCTTTTGAAAAATTGAAGGGGGATAATTTAAAAAATTAAATACAGATTCCTAGCTTGGTCAATCAAATCGGAATCAATAAAAATTGAAGAATGAAGCTTCCGTGAAAACTCAGCTAATGCTCTATATAGAGGAGCCTGGCCAAATCCATAAATTAAGACACAGATATTCAACGAAATTAATCTCACGTTATCGATTAATATCTCTACGCCATTGTTTAAGTTTTGGCAATGGATCCAAAATATCCTGAAGCATTAGCTCCTCCATCTGAAAAGGAGCTTCCTGAAGGGCAGTGGTCCACTGGCCTATATGACTGTTGCGACGATCCTTCCCACTGTAAGCTTACTGATATAACAGCATGAAGTTTGTATAATACAGTATTTAATTTTCTTATTGTCAATAATTGATGATAACTAATATGAAGAATTACCGAATCTTTTTGAAGGTTTGCTCACCTGCTTCTGTCCATGCATCACCTTCGGTCAGATAGCTGAGATTATCGATAGAGGGAGTTTATGTAATTTCATCTGACTTATCTATTCATTATTTGCAGTTAGTTATAAAATATTAAGTTGGTAATTGATATTTAATTTGCATGGCAAAAATGAGCAGCATGTAAAATTCAGGGGCTGGTGTATTATGCAATGGGTCGCATTGGTTGCGGATGGCTATACGGTGGCACGTATCGGTCAAAATTGCGTGGACAGTTCTCACTTCCAGAAGCTCCCTGTTTTGACTGGCTGCTTCATTGCTTCTGCTGCGTTTGTGCCCTAACTCAAGAGTACAGAGAACTTAAAAATCGTGGAGTCAATCCCTCCATTGGTAATTTTTCCTCAGTTATAAAATTGTTTGATCATTTGATCATATTTTTGCATGCAACATTAACAATGAATGGATGTTAATTTGAAGGTTGGAAAGCGAATGTTGAGAAGTGGAATCTTGAGGGACTTAAACCCCCATCTGTTGAAAAGGGCATGAATCGTTAGCGTCTGCCGCCGTTGCTGCTACCATATCCATGCACCACACTTGAGATTGTTATCGTTAATGTTGTTGTTGAATGTTGATGATATGACCGTTGTTTTAGTAAAAATATTTGTTGTATTCGTTTTTTATTTCAAATAAATTAGAGAAAACTTGGTTTGTCTGTTGTAATCAAATTCAAGTTGAGTGATTATAGAAATTGTAGTAAGAGGAAGTCTCCACGTGTCAGTGGATGGTTAATCTGTCTTTGACATTTCCAAAATATTTTAGGCAGAAGAATACTTGTTGAACTCTCGTGTAACCGAATATCCACAAGTGTTGATGGAAGGTTTGTAAATTTTGACCATTCATTTTTTGGTTAAGGTCAAATCCTTCGGCCGTTAAGGGATAAGTCTGACAGCATATTGATACTCTCAGTTGGTGTTAATGAATTTATTGTATTTCATATAATTCGATTTTTTTTATTTTTTTTTATTCACTAAAAAGTTCTTTTGACATAATTATTGGTAAAACATCACCTTTAACCTTCAGAAAAATACCACCAGTCCTCCTAAACTTTTTAAAACCCTTAGCCCCTAGAATTTTATAAATTTTCTAGATTTATTATCACAAACTAACGTGCTATAATTTTTTATTTGAATAAGAAAATTGTTTATTCATTGTTATGCAAAAAATACACACTGATGTCAATATCACTAATCGGAGCTCAACAAACATTTAAAAGCAAAGTGGTATTAACTGTCAAAATATAAACCGCCTCAAAGAGATATTATATAACATTTGTCTCACCTTTATCAAAATAAAGAATCAAGATCAACGAGAGGTCTCCATGTGTCAAGGCAATTTGCAAAAGCATTCATTACGTTTAGCTCAAATGTGTATAAATTAGCAACTCTTTTCATGAAATGAGGAGGTTGGATATATGAAAGTCGGACATACATTTGAGCTTCATTATTTTTCTCTATAAACAAAACATTACACCATTTTTGTATGCCTTACATACAATATCAAAAAAATAATCAGAAAATAATAAAATAACAATGGACGTAGGATTCGTTTTAAACATCTGAACCACTATAAAAATATCTCTTGTCAAACTTTTATTTATGTTTCTTCAAACATATATCATCTCAACTCCATAATTAACTCTCATAATCATTTCATGTATAATTTCTAAGATTCTCTTAACATTTTACATGTGCAACATCGTTGGTGTCAAAATCACATATCAATATTCATAAACCACACTATATGTGTGTCAATGATTTGTGAAAAAAAAAAATCAAAATTTTTATCCAAATGATATTGGACAGAATTCTCTCTTTTAACATTAATTACACATTCTATCGCTGATATCCTATTAGTTTCAACCAAAGTGTTACTTATTTCTATAAAACTTTAAGACATAAACTATCCTATAAAATGATATGACAAGCGTGTGTGTTTAGAAAGTAATTTTCTTTACTTATCTTTAATTTAAAGTCATTTAATCATTTCAAACCACACCATTTTGAATGAAATGGTTTGTATAAAGAGTTTATAAATGAAAAATTGTTGTTACTATTTTAAAAGTTTACCCAAATTATATATATATTGTGATGATGTGGCTTATCATTTGCCATGGTGGAAGTCAATTTGTTTTTGTTAGTGGTCAAACACCTGCTGCGACGTTGTTTTGGCCAAACCTAATGTGTTATCTGAGTAGGCTACCACACTTTTACGCAGACTTCATCTCTCTCTTTTCTGTTTTGGTTCGACAGCTTTTAACCCTAAAGAAAGTTCCAGAATTGATTTTGATCTTGCAATTAGGGGGAATTAGAGACAGGTAGATGACGATCTAGGAGTGGAGCATGTGTATTTAACACATGCTGATGCTGAAGGAATGAGCAGATTTCAGATCGAGAAATCTAGGGTTTTACTGATTTGGTGTGTTCTTTCCTTGTCTATAATCTTTCATGTTCTGATTCAATCATTCTCTCTGTACTATACTCATTGATAATGAAATCCCCTTTTGTGAGCCTTGGAGAGTGGATGTAGGCTGCAAAGCCAAACCACTATAATTTATGTGTCTTGTTTATGCTTGCTTTATTCTTTATCTTCATTTGTCATATGTCTGATTGTTAAATAGAGAAATGTTTCACCGCTGATTTAGGTTTAAGTAAACCTTAGAAATCTAACAAATTGGTATTAGAGTTTGATTGAAGGTCCAGTTAGGGTTTTTCACCAGTTTTAATCGTGTCTAAATACAGTTTTATGTTTCCTTAAACTGATTTCTTTTCTATTGCTGAATGTGTTTCTGATATGTGGGAAAGATATGTCGACTAAATTTGAGCTTGAAAAGTTTACAGGTGAAAACGATTTCAATTTATGGAAAATGAAGATGGAGGCAGTATTGGTTAAAGAGGGCTTGGCATTAGCTCTAAAGAGAGAAGAGGAGTTACCTAATATATTAACCACCACAGAAAAACAAGACATGCTGAATAAGGCCAAGAGCTCACTGATTCTTGGCTTGGGTGACAAAGTGCTTTGAGAAGTCAAGAAAGAAAAGTCTGCTGCAGAGATATGGAGCAGGTTAGACTCACCTTATTAGTCAAAGACTGTCCCTAATCGGTTATTTATAAAACAAAGTTTATTTGGGTTTAAGATGGATGAACAAAAATCACTAAAAGATAATAAGAATGATTTTCTTAAGATTATACAAGATTTAGAGAGTATTTCTATTGAAATTGGTGATGAGGATCAAGCTGTGATCCTGTTGAATTCTTTACCCAAAACCTATTCGAACTTTGTAGAGACTTTGAAATATGGTAAACAGACTCTGAAATTAGAAGAAGTAGTAGAAGCTATCTCAGCTAAGGATACTGAAAATAGGATTAGGAATAGAAATGTGAGTGATGGTGAGGGTCTTATAGTCAGGGGAAGATCTGAGAAGAAGAACTGGAAAAGGGGAGGGTAGAATATATATATGTCCAAATCCAAACCTGGGAAATGGAAGTGTTTCTTCTGTCATAAGGAGGGTCACCTTAGGAGAGACTTTCCTAAGAGAAAGAAGAAGAAATATGAGAAAGAGGATGATGAAGGCAGTGCAGGGGTAGTATCAGAGGGTTATGAAAGTTCAGAGGTCCTAGTTATTTCAGATAGCAATACTAGTAATGAGTGGATTTTAGACACTGGTTGCACCTATCATATGACACCTAATAGGGAGTGGTTTAGCTCGTTTGAACCTTTAGATGGTGGGAAAGTGATGATGGGAAACAATGTTGTATGTCATATTAAGGGAATATGATTTGTTAAGCTGAATCTCCACAGTGGATTAACTAAGACACTTACTGATGTTAGGTATATACCTGACCTCAAACGAAACCTCATCTTTCTTGGAACTTTAGACTCTATAGGTATGAGTTATAGGGCTGCTAATGGGAGTCTTAGTGTTTTGAAAGGTTTTTTGGTTGTTATGAAGGCTGAAAAAAGGAATGGGCTGTATGTGTTGAAAGGTAGGACTGATAATGGAGTGGCTAATATTGCGTCAACTGAGGAACTAGATAAGACTACCTTGTGGCATCAAAGACTTGCCCATGTCAGTGAAAAAGGTTTAGGAGAACTTAGTAAACAAAACCTATTGTATGGGGATAAAACAAGGAACCTAAATTTTTGTGAACACTGTATTTGAAAAAATGAGCAAGGTAAAATTTGGGATTGGACAGCACTACTCAAGCTCACCACTTGAGTATGTGCACTCTGATATATGGGGACCATCTAGGCATTATTCACTTGGAGGGTGTAGATACTTTATGAGTCTTGTAGATGACTACTCTAGGCATGTTTGGATTTATTTCCTTAAAGCTAAGGATGAAGCCTTTCCTAGATTTAGGGAATGGAAAACCATGGTTGAAAAATAAAGTGGAAAGAAACTGAAAAAATTGAGAACTGATAATAGTTTGGAATTCGTTAATGAGGAGTTCAATAACTATTGTAGAGTCAATGGTGTAGTTAGACATAAGACAGTGAGACACACTACCCAACAGAATAGTCTTTGTGAAAGGATGAATATAACTATTCTAGAAAAGGTAAGAAACATTTTGTCATGCTCTAAACTTCCTGTTAGGTTCTGGGCAAAAGCAGCCCATACTATGGTCTACTTGATAAATAGAACACCTTCTTTAGCTATAGGTTTTAGAGTTCCTCTCGAAAGATGGACTGGTCACCCTGTAAACCTGGAAAACCTTAGAGTGTTTGGGTGCCTAGCTTATGTTCATACAAAGGATGAAAAATTAAAACCTAGAGCCATTAAATGCATTTTCTTAGGATATCTAGATGGGGTTAAAGGCTATAAGTTCTGGAATTTAGAATCTAAGAAATGTATTGTGAGTAGAGATGTCATCTTCAGAGAAAATACCCTACCTGGCTTAGGAAGCAAACCTGATGAATCTGAGAATTTCCATTCAGGAGTAGGACAGTTAGAACTAGAAGTGAAGGACTCCAGTTTCAGTTCAACTTTGAATCAAGGTGGAGTTGAGGAATTAAATACTCATGAGGAAGAACCAATTACTGATCATGAAGTAGGCCAGAATACTCCAGGGGTAGATACTTCAAACTTGACAGATTATCAATTATCAAGAGATAGAATTAGGAGAACAATCAGACCTCCCAACAGACTAGGATATGCAGACCTGGTTGCATATGCACTTTAGGTGGAGAGAGAGATGAATGATGAACCTTAGACATTCCAAGAAGCAGTTTCAGGATCTGAAAAGTTGGAATAGAAGAAAGCCATTGAAAAGGAATTTGATTCTCTTATGAAGAACAATACATGGATCTTGGTTGATAAACCAGAAGATTGTAGGGTGGTAAAATGCAAATGGATTTTCAAAAGAAAACTAGGTTTAACAGCTGAGGATACACCTAGATACAAGGCTAGGTTAGTCGCAAAGGGATTCACACAAGTGGAGGGGGTTGACTATAATGAAATCTTTTCTCCAGTGGTCAAACATACATCCATCAGGGTCCTGATCTCTCTTGTAGTTCAATTCGACCTAGAATTAACAACTAGATGTAAAGACAGCTTTCTTGCATGGGGATTTGGAAGAAAGCATTCTAATGGAGCAACCTGAAGGATACAACAGTGCTATAGGTAAAGTTTGCTTATTAAAAAAATCATTATATGATTTGAAACAGTCACCACGATAGTGGTATAAGAAATTTGATTCTTTTATGATAGAAATAGGGTTTAATAGATGTAATTTTGACAGCTGTTTTTATTTTAAAAGAATCTATGAACTGACTCATATTTTCTTACTGTTGTATGTGGATGATATGCTTGTGGCATGCCATGATAAATCTGAGCTGTGTCGATTGAAGAGGTTACTGAACACCAAGTTTGAAATGAAAGAGCTAGGTCAGGC